TAGCGGTTTTATCCTGGGAGGAGAGTGCCCACGTTTTCCGGTACGGTAGGCGGGCACTACTACCTTAAGGACAGCTCCGGCGACTCCGCTGTCCTTCCACGGTGTTGTGTTTTTGCAGGTTCAGTTCATAAAGACCTCGCTGCATTCTGTCCTAGTGCATAATGTCCTCGCAGCCCAGTGCATAATGTCCTCGCAGCCCTGTGCATAACGTCCTTTGCTTGCTGTCCAGTGCTTAAATACCTCGCTGCCCAGTGCTTAAAGACCTCGCTGTCCAGTGCTTAATGTCCTCACAGTCCAGTCCTTAATGTCCTCGTACAACAAGACCGTTTGAAGATATAGAAATGTTTCTCAACTTTGTTTATTTTGTAATATTCTGAATAAATTATAAATTCAGAATTTTATTTATTTTTATTACCGGGGCCGTTCATCTTCCCCGTCCGTTGTAATCCGTACAAAAAATTGTAACAGCTTGTTTTAAAACATGAAGTGTTTTTTTGAAACGGAGATAGTACGTAATAAACTCTATCTCAAACATTCAAATACTTCAAAGATTAACAATAAGTTAAAACAAAGATTTTTTATGTTATTTAATCTTCCAGCTCTCCAAAAAATTATTTCTGTTCACCATTTACAGTGTCAAACTTTATTAACTTTGTTGGCATATTTTCACTGTCTATTTGATAAAATAATATAGTCATGCCACATTTTGTTTTGTAAATCTTTTGATGTAGTTTTTTAATATGTAATTTTTACTTTTAAATTTCATGTCATTTTTCATATGAAATGATTTGAAAATAACTACGGTCAAGCATCGTTACACAACGAGAAGCTAATTTTCGAACGGAGGGAGTATTCCGTAACAATAGTTCATAATATAATAAACTGACAATAATTCAACCGCAACACAAAAAGAAACAAAAATGCAAACGTCAAGTTACTCTATTAAAATGAGAAGTTATCATCCGTCACAAATTAAATTTAGGATGTTTGACTGATTTTATTTTCAATATAATTTATTTGAGAATTAGAGTAGAACTAAAAAAATGAAATTTACATATTAAAAAACTATATAAAAATTTCTATGAAACAAGAAGTGACATGCCTATATTATTTTGTTGAATAAGTGACAAAAATAGAAAAAAATGAATAAAGTTTGACCATATAAATAGTAAGCATTATGAAACTTAGTTTGGGACGGTGAGATGACTCCATAATAAAATTCAAAAATAGCAAACATAAAGCAAAATAAATATTACTCACTCAAAATATGAACACATCATCATTCTTCATTAAAAACAAAAAATCAATAAGAATATTATTGATTTAACCAAATTAGGTGACAATTTAACCAAATTTACTCTCTTTCATTTTTTCATATTTTTTACTTTTTTTTCAAAAATGATATGGAGTAATTACTTATTTTGAACCCATGAATACAAATTTAGAATTAAAATTATTTTCCCTGTAAATTA